TGGAGCTCACTTGGTAGCCCAGGCTGGCCTCGAACTCACAGAGATCCGCCTGGCTCTGCCTCCTGAGTGCTGGGATTAAAGGTGTGCGCCACCACCGCCCGGCTAGTTTTTAGTCTTTATCCAACTTTAAAAGTGAATCAAGAAAGAGACAAAACTCAGAACAGAGTCAAGCACAAATATATGACATAGGACTTTCCCATTGTTATCAGATACATAAATGAAATATACTTGGGATGACCATTAATAAACCTAAATGAAGGTTTACATTATACTTTAACATCATGACAATTCAAGCCCACTTTAACTTAGCCGCCCAAGTAGATTTTGTATAATCATATAAGCACCAAGAAACACCCCACTCTGATCCCGCTGTGTATTCAAAAAGTATGGAACATTCTAGACCCACTAGGGGCCACCACCAGCTTATAAAATAGACCCACAATTTGAATGTCAGTTACTGCATTGTAATAGTAACCATGAGCCGAACAACTTATGCAAAATGCATACCTTAGGAACAAGGTCATTTTGTTGTTAACGGGAAAAGTGGAGAATAGAATTCAGGTATCATTTTTTTTTAATTAAGAAAAAATTTTCATCCATTTTACACACCAAAGATCCCCCTCTTCACTCCTCCCACCCCCCAGCCTCCCCTTCCAACCCACTCCCCACTCCCTCCCACAAGAAGGCAAGGCCTCCCATGTGGAGGCACATACAGTAGAGGCAAGTCCAAGCCCTTCCCCATGCCTCAAGGCTGCACAAGGTGTCCTGTCATAGATAGTGGGCGCCACAAAGCCCACTCATGCACCAGAGATGGATTCTGATCCTACCGCCAGGGGGCCTCCTAAGCAGATCAAGCTACACAATTGTCTCGCCATGCAAAGGGCCTAGTCCAGTCCCATGTAGGCTCCACAGTCATTGATCCAACTTTCATGAGTTCCCTTCTAGTTTGGTTTGGTCGTCCCTGCATGTTTCATCATCATGATCCTGATGTACTTGCTCATAGAATCCCTCTTCTCTCTCTTTGACTGGACTCCTGAAGCTCTGTCTAGTGATTGGCTGTGGATCTCTGCATCTGCTTCCATCAGTCATTGGAGAAAAGTTCTGTGGTAACAGTTAGGGTATTCACCAATCTGATCTCTGGGGCAAGCCATTTCAGTTCAGGCACCTTCTCCACCATTGCTAGCAGCACAGACTGAGGTCATCCTTGGGGATTCCTGACAACTTTCCTAGCACTGGGTTTTTTCCTCTATCCCCATGATGTCTCTCTCTATCATGGTATCTCTTTCATTGCATCCCCCTTCCCTCTGTGTTCCAGTTCAACCATCCCATTCCCTTATGTTCTCATCCCCTATCCCCTATGCTCCAATTGTCCACCCCTCATCCCTACTTACTCATGGAGATCTCCTCTATTTCCCCTTCCCAGGACAGTCCATGTTCTTCTCTGTTAGTTAGCTTCTCTGGAGTTGTGGGTTGTTGCCTGATTACACATTACTTTACATCTAGTATCCACTTATGAGTGGGTACATACCATGTTTGTCCTTCTGAGTCTGGGTTACCTCACTCAGGATGTTATTTTCTAGTTCCATCCATTTGCCTGCAAATTTCATGATGTCATTGTTTTTCTTTGCTGAGTAGTACTCCATTGTGTCTATGTACCACATTTTCATAATCCATTCTTTGGTTGAGGGGCATCTAGGTTGTTTCCAGGTTCTGGAAGTCAGGTATCTTGATAATGGCACATATGTTAATATGTCTTTCTTCCTCAGATGCTTCTATTACATGTGCATCTCTTGCAATTCAGTGCTGCTGTTTTTAAGGCATGGAATAAGTTTAACATGTGCTGTTTCAGGGCAGAAATTCTACCGAAGGTGATGAAGCTCATATCACCTTAAGATTTGCTCTTTGCACAATCAAAAGTACATATTATAATTAATTAATTAATATAATTAACATTATTAATATAGTATATTGCATTATTAGTGTCAGACTAAAATGTGTGCTTATATCTGTAGAATTAACCTTCTATGTTAAACTGATTATCTGACATCACACAGCAATTATACTTACAGACTAAAAGTTAGAAATTATACTTTTAAAATAAAAAGACAGTGATATTATAAGAATTGGGTGGGCTAAGATTTCTGAGAAGAAAGGTCCTTAGACAGCTGAACTGACAGTTTGTTTTGCCTCAGAGAAATTTGCTAAGTCTGAAAACATGCAACAAGTTCTTGGTGGGGACAAAGTAAACCAGTAATCTTTGACAGGCTGGAGGATTCAAGCTTTGATTTAGTTTCACCATTCATAGCACTTAAATTCAGGGCAGACACCCAGCGTAACAGAACCCAAGCAGAAAATTCGTCAAAAGCAGAGTGAAGTTTTAATTGCTAAATGAATAGTCTGGAGCCTTCAATGAGAAGGGGATATAGGAATATAACAAGTTCTCAACTGTAAATGGTGTAGAGTTGGGTGCTTATTGGGCTTGCAAAAAACCTCAACCAAGTAGAGTGCCTGTTTGCATCAGGGTAGTTTGATTAGGTAGAACTCTAACAAGTGAACAGCAAAAGGTGAATTCCTCCTAGAGGAAGATAATAGAATCATGATCCTAGATAGCTTTTACATAGTTTCCCTACATTCTGTCACACATCAACAAATCTAAATTCTGTAAAAAAAAATAAAAATATATTTTCTAAATGCAGATATTAGAAGTGAATGTCCCAAACAGTTTTTTTAACATAGAGCTAATGTGTTAAAATAAGAAACAGTGTATAAAAGATTTTAAAAGGAAGTTTTACCATCAAATGGAAACCTTAACCTGTAAATTCTGTAACTGAGAAAAAAACATACCATAGAACTAAGTTGTTTAATACCATAGATATAAAGAAATGCAGAAAAAATAGTTGCAAGATAACTCTAGATGAAATATCCAAATAGAAACACATTAAAATATAGATAAGAACATTTGTAACATTTGGGATATAATTAATTTCTCTCA